CCGAAGGACAGGTTTCTCGCAGAGGACGTGCTCGAAAGGCGCTGGCCGGGCACGGCGGAGCTCGCTGGGCTGCGGCACTGGCTTCCCGGGAAGCTTTTCCTCGGCCAAAGGGACCCAGAGCTGCCTCCCCGAAGCAGGAGAACTGGGGACGCTTCTGTTTTCACCAGGAAAGCCTCCGTCCTCCTGAGATGAAACCAAGAAATAAATACATGCCAGAATCTATGTTTATTCGCGGTGATTTCTCCCTCCTATGACTCCTCTGTGTGCAATTTATTCCACTTTCCAATAAAGACTGTAATAACGTGGCATCAAATAACTTAATTTTATTAAAATGTAAACTGTGTGGCCTCCTTTATGTTTTATTGGCCACAGCAGGGAAAAAAAAAAAAAGACTTGTTTTTAAACATTTACTGTTTTATATTAAAAACGATCATCTCGATAGAGTGTTAGCTTCTGAAGCGTTTAGCGTATCAGCACTGAGCTGGTGAGTCATACACGAAATAAACACACTGCTCTTCCCACTCCAGCTCCAAACAAAGGCTTTTTATTATTATTTTAGGCTAACCACAGGACAAAAAAATGGTCAAAGCCTCCCAATAATAAAAGAATACAATTTTCTTTGATATTTTCTGATTGTTCTCAACATTGCCAGCTCCAAGCACAGGAAAATCCTTAAGTCAGTCCCCAAAGAGTTGAGAGACCGGCTGCAAGGTCGGAGAGGCTGGAGAAAAAGGGATTGGGAGGTTTGATTTGCCTCCTGGTTTTAGGATGTTTCAAACGGAGGATGTCCAGCTTTTCAGCCACGCAGGTCAGCAATGCCTTTTAATTTTCCTAATGAACGCTCAGGAGAGGTTACTTCCTTAGAGCTGAGCTACAGCAAAAGATCCCCGCCTGCCACGACCCTTGCCCGGCGCTTGCGAAGGCCGGCAACGCCGCGCTTCTCCCGCGCTGCCGGGCGCGCTGAAGGTCGTCTTGCCTTTTCTCGGCCTCGTGCGCCTGAGCAGGTAGAGCGGGAGCGGCGAGCCCAGCTCTGTGCAGGTTTCGATGGGGCTCTGGACGGGGCAGTTGCAGGCTTCGCGGTGCCCCGGAGTGCTGGAGGGGACCCAGGGCAAGGAGAGGACCACACTGAGCAGGGGAGGTGGGTGGGAAACGAAGGGAGAGCGAGGTCACAAAGTTACTTTGGAGGCCTGCTTTATTTGTTATTTCTAAATAAAACCCTGGCCGAGCCGGGCGGCTATTTAAGGCCAGGAAGCTGTCAAGTAATAGTTTCTTAATATAGACGTCGACCTGTCCAGGGCTTCCTGGAGCAACTCTTCCTCTTGTCAGAAGAGATGGATCGCTTGATTTTTATTATAAACAACAGGCTGAAGATGATCAGGGAGAGTGAAATGTGGCGTCGAGTTGCGGCTCATCCGAGATGGAGGACGGCGCTTTCCCACCACGGATCCTCGGCAGACGGAGAGCGGATGCTCCGAGCACGGGGCACACTGGGGCCCTCCTGGCGCAGCTCGGCGTGGTGCTGCCGTCCACGCTGGTGCCCACTGCCCTGCGAGGCAGGGGGTTCAAGCTCTCCTTCTAGCAAAGCCTTTGGGTGCTGACTCCGGAGGGGTTTTGTTAACCTCTTGGAGCACCTCCAGCTCCAGCACTGGGGACAGGGTCCGCTCTCACCGGGGGCACCCGAACGCTGCTGTGGTCGGTCCCTCTGCCCATCCACGCCACCCTCGGCGTCGGCAGAGCGTGTTTGCACGGCTGGACTCTTGTTAGCGCTTTGCGTTGCCACCGTTTGTTTTTCCACTCCTTTGCCTGCCAATATCCGGCGCAGGGCAGCGCGCAGCGAGGCAGCTGATAACCCAGCAGCCGTCCCTTCCCGCGAGCCTCGCGCGTGCCGGGGCGCGCACCGCCCGGGGCAGCCTTCCTCCAGCCCCTACCACCGGCTGGACCGCTCCGCCTTAACCCA